TATTTTTCAAAATAGATTATTCCATTTAGTCATCATCTTCTCCCTTATCTTCAGCTTCTCTTTTTCAATTCTGACCCCTTTATTTACCAACATCTTCATTTCCTCATTAACTACTTCCCAGTCATCATAACCCTCTTTACCCTCTTCTCCTTCTTCCTCCTCATCTTCCACTACCTGAGCATCTTCATCATATTCTTCCTCATCCTTATCATCATCCTGGTCCTCCACATAACCCTCAGCATCTGAGTCAGGGGTCTCCCTGTCCTCCCAGCTGTAGCCATCGAGATACATGAGCTGCCGGAGGAGCTTCAGGTTGGTTATGTCACAACTGAAAAGGTGTGAACTCTTGAGGTTTTCTAACTTTTCCAGTGGCTCTATTGTGCTGAGGTCTTTAATTCTGTTGCCACTTAAATTTAGATGCATGAAGTTCAGATGCTTTTCTGCTAATACTTCCAGCCCCCCCGAGATCTCTGTTATCACTTAGTTCAAGCTTCTAGGGTTTCTTTGGCAAATTTGTGACTGAAGTGAGGCCTACATTGATTATATTCCAGTTCTTCAAATTCATCTGTGAGGCCTTTGATTTTGCCTTCAATCAACTAGCAGTTGTCCAGGACAAGCTCTTCACATCAGAGGGTGTCCTGTTCCACAGCTCTAAATAAATCCATTTGTCCATGTCCATCTCTCACACTCTCTCTCTGGAAAGGCTCCAGTGCCCATAGAATTCAGTCAATCCATACCATACTATTTTGATCTGCATGTTTGTAGCATTTGTTAAAATCTTGAATTATGATACCTCCAGCTTGGTTGTTCTTTCTCAAGATTGCTTTGGCTACCTAAGGTATTTTGTCATTGTATATCATTTTCAGTATTATTTGTCCTAGTTCTGTCAAAATGTTATAGGTATTTTGACAGAGATTGCAACAAATCTGTAGATTGCTTTGAGTAGTATGGACATTTTAACAATATTTTAATTTTTCCAATCCACAAGCATGGAATATCTTACCATTTGTTTGTGTCATCTTCTATTTTTTTCCATCAATGTTTTATAGTTTTCATAGTGTAGGTCTTTTATCTCTTTGGTTAAGTTTATTCCTAGGTATTTTATTCTTTTTGATGCAATTGTAAATGCAATTTTTAACTTCTTTTTCTGCTACTTCATTATTAGTGTATAGAAACACAACCCATTTCTGTGAATTAATTTTGTATCTTCCAACTTTACTGAATTCATTATTCTTTTTTTTTTTTTTAGATTTTATTTATTTATTCATAAGAGACCACAGAGAGGCAGAGACACAAGCAAAGAGAGAAGCAGATTCCCTGCGGGGAGCCCAATGTAGGACTTGATCCTAGGACTCCAGGATCACTCCCTGAGCTGAAGGCAGACACTCAACCACTGAGCCACCCAGGTGTCCCCTCATTTATTATTACTAATAGTTTTCTGATAATCTTTTTTTTTTTTTTTTTTTTTAGACAGAGAGTGGGCGGGGAGGCAGAATGAGGGGGAGAGAACCTTAAGATGGGTCCAGGCCCAGTGGAAAGCCCAATGTCGGTTTTGATTTCACTATCCTGAGATCATGACCTGAGTTGGACACTTAACTGACTGAGCCACCCAGGTGCCTCTTGATAGAGTCTTTATACATTTTCTATGTATAGTTTCATTCATTTCTATGTAAAGTTTTACATATTTGCAAATAGTGACAATTTAACTTCTTCCTTACCAATATGGACACCTTTTATTTTTCTTGTTTGATTGCTGTGGCTAGGACTTCCAGTAGCAAGGTAACATTAGATTTTCAGAAGTCAAGAATACATATTTTGATCTGTGAAATAACCACTAAAAGAACAGTAAAAATCAGTTTACTGACCTATAGATTCCCTATGAATAGCACCATCATTTTTGCAAAGAGGGAGAGTTATATCCTGATACAGATCACACTGACTTAAAACTAAAAAGTTATGTTTAGAAATTTAGAGAATGTAAGAGTTTATAAAACCATATCCAAAGAAGCCAACGTACTGGTCTAAGTACAGAAAGAGAAAAACTGTACAGCAGAACATAAAAACTGCAAATATAATGTCTTTTGGTTTCTACATTTCCCTAGCAATCTTTCAAAATGATTTCCTTAACTTCTCTGCCCTATACATACAAAATCAACATTTCCTTTCTCTCCACTGCAAAACAAGAGGCATTAAAGCATTCTAAAACTGGAAATAACTGTATGCTAAAATAAGAAGAATGTGCCATTAATGGTGAAATAAGTGTTTTCTGGGGGGCACTCCCCATCTTCTCCAAGAAAGCACAGATTGATTGGTATGAAACAGAATATGTGACTATTCTGTAATGGTATGGGACAATTAGCAACATCGTAGGGACAGTAATTCCTTGGGTTCGCCAATTTGTTACTACTCTATAAAAAGTACCCTTCAGGGGCTTAAAAACAAACAACTAATTTCAATTGATCAATTTAGCACAGACAGCCTTCCTCAACACCAAATGTCCACACCCTAGTCCTGATTCTGTCTGCCCCCTTCCATGGCAGACTGGAACATGAGACCTCCTCTGTACCATTTGTAAGCTATATAAAAAAATCTCTGGGACCTGAAAATAGAAAGCTAATAATACCGTAAGTCATTTATGACATATGAAACTACTTGGTGGAAAAATACAAGTCATCCCTTACCAATGAACCTTCAAGTAGCAGTTCTTTGTAGTCCCTAAAACTCTGGTAAATTCATATGTCTTATGTTCCAATAATTTAACTTTGTAATTATTTATATATCAATCTCTTTGAAGAGATAAACAGATACCTTCCTAGAAAGATAGCACTTGTATCCTCTACCTCAATTCCCACTGACAACCAAAGAACCTTTACAACTCCTGCTGGCTGCTTTCTCACATTAGTAACTTGACGTGTTAAATGGTCTTGGGTTTCCACATGCCCTATATCTGAGAGAAAGTTCAAAATCAAATGCATATAGAAATATTTCCAAAATCCCTCCTCCTTTTAGAGAGATTTTTATAATTTTATAATGCTCCATTGATAAAGAAAGCTACCTAACAAAGCTAACCTAAAACATAACCTACAATAACAGTCTAATGGTAGAAAATTCTGTTGATTGATAAGTAATAAAAACAGATTTCATTATCTGCTCTGGAGTTAAGATCAATACGAGCAGCTCTCCCACTATGTACCCCAAGCTGGCAGCCTAAATGAGGGCAGAACACCAACTGCCACTGTCCTCATACCAGAACTCTCCATGGTTTCTAGCTGATTCTCTCTGACCCCAAAGGACTTTATATTAACTCATCTGATCCTTCTAACACTGTCAATATAAACTGAAGGGACATCTAGACTCTGTCTCATGAGTACTGGTCCCTTTCAGGCAGCCTAAACACCTTGTGCAGTAGGTAAATACAATGTTCTGCCAATAAAACCACTTTAAGGATTTGATGTTCATAAAGATGTAATATTGTAAGGATCTGTAATAACTTCTACAACACTATCACTACAAAATATTTATTTTCTTCAAATTATAACAAATTCTGTTTTAAAAATAACAGTTTTATAAAAGCAGGAAATTAAGCATTCAGTGTTACAATATTGTACTTATCTAAAAAGTAACCAAACAACTTATAATCACAAAGGGTATTCCATAAAAATGTTATGTAAATTTAGCTCAGTAACCCAAATATTAGAGCATCTACTATTATTAATAAAACAGGTACTCTTAGCCTAAATAAAACAGACAAAAATATTTGCCTTCATGCAGCTTACATTCTAACACAGGAGATACATAAAACAAATAAAGCACGTAGTATGTTAGTATGTTGTATAGTGATAAGAACTATGGATAAAATTTAAATCCGGAAAGGCAGTATGATGTGTAGAGGATGGAAATGGCAACCACAAGTAAAGTACTCAAGAAAGGAATCCCTGAGAGATGGTGACATTCAAGAAAGAAGACAACAAGCCATGTACCTAACTGGGAAAAAGCACGCAGTGCAAAGGAAAAAGAAAGAACAAAATACACAAAGGTCCTGAGGTGAGAATGCTCAAGGATAATGTTCAAGGAAGAGCAAGAACATGGGGCGCCTGGGTGGCTTAGTTAATGTCCTACTCTAGATTTCAGTTCGGTGATGATCTCAGGGTTGTGAGATCAAGCCCGGTGTTGGGTTCTGCTGAGCCTTAGGATTCTCTCTCTCCCTCTCTCTTTCTCCTTTCCCCACCTGCTCACATCACACTTGCTTGTGCACACACACTCACACTCTCTATGAAAAGAGTGTGTGACTGGTGTAGAATAAACCAAGAGTAAACCAGATGAAATCAGAACATAACAGGAAGCCAGATCATGTAGAATGTTAGAGGCCATGGTAAGATTTTTTTATTTTCCCCTAAAGAAAAAAGAAAGTCATTAGAGGTTTCTGAGCTACCATGCTGAAAGCATACTGAAAAAGGCAAGGGTAGAAACAGGGAGACCAACAGATAGGTATAGAGAAATGAAAGTGACTTGGACCCGAGTAAAGACTAAAAGAAAAAAATTGGGGAAAGAAATTCAGGAACTCCATTTCAGACATGTAAAATTCTAGGTGCCTATTAGACATCCAGTAGGCTGCAAGGTATCAGTCTGGAACTAAGGGAGGATGCCTGGGATAATGATTTGAAATTATTAATGAATTTATGCTATGCATTAGACAGAACATCACCAAGGGAGTCAGAATATACAGGAAAGAAAAAACGTCTAAGGAATAAGTACTAGAGAATCCCAGCACTAATTGGATAGGAAGGAAGATAAGAAGAGCCAGCAAAAGAATTAAAGAATGACCAGTGTGGTGAGAGGAAAACCAGAGAAGAGGATGTTCTGGAAACCAAACAAAGAATTTTTAGAAAGCAATCAGTGATCTGTCAATAAGATAAAGACCACTGAATTAAGTGACATAGAAATCACCTGTGACCTTAATGAGCTGTTTTACTACTATCATATAAGAAAACACATAATACCTGTAAAGCTTTATATTCCTTTTGAAGATCTTTTATCTTATTCTGTTGCTGGCAAACCCTATTTAGGGATTCATCCTCCAATTCACCAATTTTGGATTTCACACTCTCCATAATATGTTCCAAGTCATTAGCTCGTTGTTCCTGATTGGCTGCTCGGCTTTGCTCTAGCTGAAGTTCATTTCTAAAAACAGACACATGATTTCTTCCCTTAGTATAGAAGGAAATCACATTAACAAACATACTCATCTAACAACATAACAAATTTCTAAAATTTCATTGCATTGTTAAAATTTCTGTCATATAACACAAACCAATGGAAGAAATACAAGGCACTCTTACATATCTAAGCTATTACTGAAAGATCTACCTACTAAAAATATTTTTTAAACTTAATATTTAGTCAAAATAGAAAATTAAAGTTCAAGATTCAAGGCATTATTTTTAGAATGCATACCACTGGTATACAAACAATTCAAAAGAGAATTCTGTTTTTTCTTACTTAAGCTGCTGATTAGTTTCTATGAGCTCCTGGATCATGTTCTGTTGACGTGTTGTTTCCTCCACCAATGTTTTCAAATTCTGCCTCATCCTTTGTGATGACTGTTTATCAAAAACGATGAGATCTACATTTTTGAATATAATACAGATAGTAAAAATCAAAGGCAAAAAATTTTAAGATAAAAATTAGTTTTAAAAGGAAAAAGAATTTTTTTACCATAATGAGAAAGGATAAGATCTAGCAAGAATAGGATTTGATTACCTTTAAGATCAGTTCTTTTGACTAGAGATAAAGGCTTTAAGCCATGCATCATCAACAGCACATTTATGCTTTCCCATTCTGCTTCTTCCCGCTGTAATTACAAGGAGAGAAGGATCAACTTCAATATATAAAGTGAAGAAACACCCTCTCAAATATAATTTCCTTGTTTACAAAATAATGGAACTTTTTCTCCAAAGTTTCTTAATATGAATTTTTTATGCACACATGATGATTAAAATTAAAACAAATGTCTAACAAAATTAGCAGATCAAAAGGAATGCAAATAAGCACAAATAATAAAGCACATTATATAATTCCATACTCATACATATAGGCTGTAATGGATAAATTGAAACAAAAATACCAACCAAAAAACACCTTGTAATTTCAATGAACCAAACAAACCTTAGGGTTTTTTTTGCTTAACCAAATCACACCAGGCCCTACTCAAAAGAAACAGCTGCAAGGTGCCTGGGTGGCTCAGCTGGTTAAGCATCTGACTCTAGCTCAGGTTATGATCTCAGGATCATGGGATCAAACCCATGTCAGGCTCTGTGCTCAGTGTAGAGTCTGCTTCTCCCTTTCCTTCTGACCCTACTACCCCTGCTTGTGTGCAGGCTCTTGCTCTTTCTCAAATAAATAAAATCTTAAGAAAAAAAAAAAAGTTTGACCAAAGTTTAAAGAAAGAAAAGAAACAGCTGCCAATTAGGTCATATTAACTGAACAGTAAATTAAATGCAAGTCACACAGAAACAAGTACCACTTAATGAATAAGGTCACCAAAAAAAATCAAAATGCCTGAATAGTCAAAGCCAATGATGTAGATAGTCCTTTGTATAATGGACAAGATCTAACTATAAAAAGGAGTCTGTCCATCTAAGTAACTGATTCTAGTAGAGTCACTCTGAAAGATATTCTCAAGTTTTGTATCTCTGATTCTAAATACCTATTCGTACCATAAACCTGAGAGGGGGACCCTAACTCTCTAAATTAAGTAAATAAATAAAAACAATAATGGGAAGAAATGGTAGTAAGAATATACAATACAGATAAGAATAAAAATAAAGATGATTTTTTAGATATTTAAACCCATGATATTAATAGTCTTTTAATGTAAATACAATGATCAATTTGAAATCACTGTGTGAAGTTAATTTACTTGCATTTTAAGTTATTTGAGTATATTTGAAAAGGTAATCTGAGTGAATTTACAATCAATGTTTAAGTGCTTGAAAAATATAATTTATAAAATAGTTTTTTTACTAGTGATATAGTATTAAATATTGTAATAGCTTAAAGATTAATATAGAGAAAGTACATATAAAAATAATACTTTCCACATTCAAATGCCCCCAAACATTAAGCTCTCTACTGGTATGACTACAATAGCACTATTACTAACAGCACCAAATCTTTCCTTTTGACTGCTGACTTTCTTCACCTTCTTTATCCCTTCCACACTTCTCCTCCTACAATCTTTTCCCTTATTTATGTTGTTGGTCAGAAAGATTCATGATCCAGAATTAAAATTACTGAAGCTATCTGCTTTAGGAACCAAAAGCTATGTGGGCATCTCAGTGGCTATCTACTATGACTCATAAAAACCAAGTACTCTGTAAATAATGCCACACATTTTGAATGATCAAATTATATATAATTATATAGTTATTATATATAATTATATATATTATTTATAATATATATATATAATATTTCAAGTTTACCTGTTTTTCAGTCATGAGTCTGTTTAATGATTTACTGGACTCCTAGGCTTTAGGGGCTGCTGGAGATATAGTATCTTTTGTTAAATCAGAAGAAGTAGATGGGCAATAAAAAATATTCACGTTGCCTAAATGAAAAAAGAAAAAGTTCAATAGGTGCTAAAGAAAATTATATTTAAAAGAATGGATAACCCTTAGGCAATTTGAGCATTCCTGTGTCAAAACTTGTATGACTTCCTAGAAAGCTGATTTTAAGAATCATTAGAATAAATCCTATCTTATAATGTTCTCCTCTAGAAATAAAACATTATGAGTTTTACACACACACAACTATTTTTTTTAATTAGATATGTACAAAGCACGTGCTGCTAATAAATAAACTGCTATCTTGTGGAAGCTGCTTCTTGAAGCCAAAAGAACTATACCTGACCCAAAGTTATAGGCCAGTCTAACAATTCACTGGACTAACTCCAAGGGTAAATGTAGTGCCACTTGCTTAGGTAGTCTTTATTTCTAAGTAGATCAGAGGCTAGCAACAAAGAATTCTGCGTGACTGGCAGACACAAAAGTTTATATTCAGTCTACCCTACCATTACTTCTTCTTATCATCTAAGACTTTATCACCCTATAGGGAAATTTGGATTCTTTGGTATGTAGATATAATTCCTCCTTTCAAGAAGCACAATCATACACATTCATTAGCATCAGGAACTTTTAGATCTTGAAAGGACCTTGTATAGTGTTTAATCCAAAATCTCTAGCTGTTCATAGTTGGCAGAGCAGCATATGAGAGAGTTGTACCAAGACATCAGGTACTATAACCATCTGAATCCCAGAAAAGTGAAATGATCTTCTCAGAATTACTAAGGAAAAAAGTAGGCCTCTTCACTGCCAGGTAGTATTTCATCCAAAGCACCCTCCTACCCTTTTATGTCTGTTTCAGATAGTGAAATCCAACTAAACAATTTACCAGTCACCCTTAAGTCTGGTCTACAGGGTGCAGTCTTTCCCCCCTTATTTTCAGATAAACCCAATAACATGTTACAAATTCCCAAATTCTGCCACTTTTGTGCTTAATGTCATACTATCTCCCCTGTAAGCTTTGGTCTCTTTAACAACTCAACCACCCCTACTATGGTAACCCATCCTGCTTTTACAAACCGTTCACCTAGTTTTAATTTCTCCTAGGCTTTAGGGGCTGCTGGAGATATAGTATCTTTTGTTAAATCAGAAGAAGTAGATTGGCAATAAAAAATATTCACATTGGGATCCCTGGGTGGCGCAGCGGTTTAGCGCCTGCCTTTGGCCCAGGGCGTGATCCTGGAGACCCGGGATCGAATCCCATGTCGGGCTCCCGGTGCATGGAGCCAGCTTCTCCCTCTGCCTGTGTCTCTGCCTCTCTCTCTCTCTCTGTGACTATCATAAATAAATAAAAAATTAAAAAAAAATATTCACATTGCCTAACTGTATTAGAGAAATTTAGAGAAATTTTTAGAAATATACAAAAATAAATAAATAAATGTAAATTTAGAGAAATTTTTAGAAATATACAAAAATAGAGAAAGTATAATAAATCCACGAATACAGCTTCAATGAAAGCCAACATTCTTCCATTCTTATTTCATTTCTTCAATGTTTAGATTTCAGTATACATCTTTAACAAATACAAATTTGTTTTAAACATAACTTCAATACCATTGTCACACCAAATAAAATTAACAATTTATCATCACTTAATACCTAGTCCAGGTTCAATTTTCCTCAAAATATCTTAAAAATGTCTTTTTTTTTCAAATCAGGATCCAAACAATGTCCAAATGTAGCACTCTAAAGTTTCTTTTAATCTATACCAGTCCTTCCCCTCTTTTTTTTAACATGCATTTTTTGTTGTTGAATAATAGGCCATCTATTTTGTCAAACTACTTTTTTTTTAAATTTTTATTTATTTATGATAGTCACAGAGACAGAGAGAGAGGCAGAGACATAGGCAGAGAGAGAAGCAGGCTCCATGCACCGGGAGCCCGATGTGGGACTCGACCCCGGGTCTCCAGGATCGCGCCCTGGGCCAAAGGCAGGCGCCAAACCGCTGCCCCACCCAGGGATCCCTCAAACTACTCTTATTTCAGATTTGGCTTACTGTGTTTTTGTATTTAACATACTTTTCCATCCTCTATATTTCTTATAAGCTGGTTACATCTAGAGGCTTTATTAGATTCAGGTTCAGGGGGATCCCTGGGTGGCTCAGCGGTTTAGCGCCTGCCTTTGGCCCAGGGTGTGATTCTGGAGTCCCAGGATCAAGTCCCACGTCGGGCTCCCTGCACGAAGCCTGCTTCTCCCTCTGCCTGTGTCTCTACCTCTCTCTCTTTCTCTCTCTGTGTCTCTCATAAATAAATAAATAAAATCTTTAAAAAAAAAAAGATTCAGGTTCAGTATTTTCTGGCAAGAACACTTCACAAGTGGTGCTGTGTTTATCCTATTCTATTACTATCAAGAGTCAGTCAGAATTTTAAAGTGGGAAGAATACACCCTTGTAGACTAGACATAAGGGTGGTAGACCAGACGTAAGGGTGGTATGATACTCCCCCAGAGTGTGGAGTATATTCTGACAATCTTCCTAACTACCACACTGGACCACTCTCAAATTGTCAAAATGTCACCTCTCTCCAAATTCAAGGTCTGGCCACTCTTATCCTACTCTTCACTTAGTTAATTCATACCTGACCTTCAGATCCTGGCTCAGATTTCTTTCTTCAGGGAAAACCCCCCTGATCCCATGACTAGATCAGGTCCTCTTGTTATATGTTCTTGTAGCACTAGAAAGAATAAAGTATAGAGGTTTAGCTCAGACTCAGATGGCCTGAGTGACTACTAGCGTAACTATTTATTAAACTGTATGACATGGACAAACTCATTAACCTCTTTGAGCATTGATTTCTTCATCTGTAAAAGAGAGAACACAGTAATACTTACACCTCATGGGTTAAATTAAGTCAGACAACATGTAGAAAGTACTTAGAATGAGATAGCTGGCATATAGAAACTTATAGATAAGTGGTAGTTATTATATAAAAAGTATGCTCAACAAAATGGATCTTACCTAATCATACCATGGTATGTTGTTAGTTTAGATGCTTAGGTATTTTCTACAAATTACTCAGATAATTACCTAATATACACTGTTTTTATTTAAGTATGTTTAGGTAAGACTAAATTCCATGAGATAAGTAGTCTACTTTTGGTGATGGTGGAGTAGGTAGCTCTGTCTCCAAAGTCAATGAAGAAAGTTAAATAAAATACATTCAATTTGAGGCATGTGGCTGGCTCATACAGTAGAGCATACAGCTCTTTATCTCAGGGTCATGAGACTGAGCTCCATGTTGAGGGTAGAGATTACTTATGATTAAATATATATATATATATTAAATTCTTTTTCTTACAAATTAAAGAACTAACACAATAATAAGGAATTACCAGGCAAAAAAATCAAGGAGAACCCATTTTTTCCCTAAAGGCTTTTGGCAATCCAAAGAAAAAGCTGTGAGAATGAGTGCTAAGGATTAACACTCCCCCCCCAACCCCCCGCGCCCCACCCTCATTTAAAGTTGTTACCTGTAAGGGCTACAATGCTCAGGATAAGAGTTAACTAGAAGTAAACCACTTGTCCCATTAACTGAAACCTGGTTTCCTCTCCTCTAAGTCAAGAAGGTCCCAAATTAAAAGTGCTTCTGAAGGGTGCCTGGGTGGCTCAGTCAGTTAAGCATCACCTTCTGCTCAGACGGTGATCTCAGGGTCCTGAGACTGAGCCCTGCTTTGGGCTCCCTGCTCAGTGGGGAATCTACTCTCCCTCTCTCTCTCTGCCCCTCCCCCTTGCTTGTACTCACTCGTGCTCTCTCTCAAATAAATAAAATCTTCAAAACAAAAACTTCCATGCACCTAGCAGAAGCAAATGAAATCTCTGGAAAAAGGCCTTAAATTACTCACACCAAAAAAGGTTTCAAATACAACATCCAGCAAATAGTCAAAGATAACTAAGGCATACAGGAAACAAGACATAAAGAGACTGAAACAACAGCCAAAAGAAAACAAGCAAGAAAGAAGGACTTCTGATATTGTAATTATTAGGCAGAGACAATAAATTAATTATGCTGACAGTGTTCAAAGAAATAAAAATCAAAGCCTGAAGCTTTCAGCAGAGAACTGTAAACTTTTCAGTTTCAAGAAAACAGACTTGAAAAAGAATAAGCTAAAAATTTAGAAAAAAAAATTACAACAGCTGAAAGATCTCAAATCACAGGCTTAACAGTAAATTAGAAAGCAGAAGAGAAAATTAAATGAACAAATGAAGGGAAGTTAGAACAGACTCCATTTTTTTTAGTTTTCTATGCTACCTTCAGGAAAATAGAGCAGACTTTCTATTTCAAATGGAGAGGATACATGCAGAGGATAACTGGCATCCAAGAAAAAGGAAAAAAAGGAACAGAAGCAGAATTTGAAGATATAATGGTTAAGTTCTGTGAGCCAATGAAAGACATAAATCAACCGATGAAAGACATAAATCCATGATTCTAGAAGCCCAGCAAATTGAAAACAAAATAGAAAAAAAAAATTACACCTAGGCACATCATACCAGAGTACAGAAAAACAAAGAGAAAATCTTAAAAGAAATTACAGAAAAAAGATTATCTTCAAGGGAGCGAGAGCTGAAACGTCAGCTAAATTCTCAGCAGTAATAATGGAAACTAATAGTGGACTAATATACTCGATGTGTTGAAAGAAAATAACTGCTAATCTAAAATTTTAAATCTAAGGGCACTTAGGTGGCTCAGTTGGTTAAGTATTTGTCTTCGGCTCAGGTCATGGTCCCAGGGCCCTGGGACTGAGCCCTGCTTGGCAAGGAGTCTGCTTCTCCCTCTTCCTGCTGCTCCCCCTGGTTGTGCTCTCTCCTGTCTGTACCTTTGTCAAATAAATAAATAAAATCTTTAAAAATAAAATTAAAAAAATGTTCAACTGCCAAAACTTTTTAAAAATTAATTAACTGAATTCTAAATCTAGTGAAAATATCCATTAATAATAAAGGCATAAGACATTTTCAAACAAAACAAATCTGACAGATCTATACTATAAAAAATTCTAAAGGAGATGCTCATGCAAGAGATTCCTTGATTAAAAAGAAATATAGAAAGGCATAAAAAGCAAAGAAATGAATACTGTAAACACTGAGTACATAAAATAAAGTCTTGTGAAGATTTAAAAAATATAGCTAAAATACACAATAACAAAATGTGTTACCTGGGCATCAGGTAAATAGAGTAACAGTGTTCTAATTTTGTTTATAATTTAAGTGGAAGATAAAAGTATCTCTTAATATCGGGTATTTTGCAAATTAAGGATGCTTGAGAATTTCCAAAATAGCCACTGAAGAACAGAACTCAAGTGTGTAATTTCCTAACAAAGAAAAAAAAAAGGAACCATAGGATTAATAAAAATAAATCTAAAAGGAGAGAAACAAACAGAAAACAAATGGAACAAAAGAAATATAGATTTAAACTCCCATCAGTAATTATATTAAATGTAAATAGATTAAATGCTCCAGTTAAAGAAGAAAGACCATCAAGTTGGCTTTAAAAAAAAAATCAAACTATATCTTTTTGAAGGAAAAAAGATAATATATTAAAAAACCATATAAAATATAAACATACAAAATAGTAAAGGTAAAAGTATAAAGAAAGGATTGATGGCATGGTAACAGCAAAATTCTTTAATCTCTGAATCCCTATATTAAAATAAAAGCAACTGGGTAACAAAGAAAAAAACCTCAAAGAATAGTATTTGTATCAAAACATAGTGACAGGGGCAGCCTAGGTGGCTCAGCGGTTTAGCGCCGCCATCAGTCCAGAGCCTGATCCTAGAGACCTGGGATCCAGTCCCGCTTCGGGCTCCGTGCATGGAGCCTGCTTCTCCCTCTGCCTGTGTCTCTGCCTCTCTCTCTCTCATGAATAAATAAATAAAATCTTTAAAAAAAGTAAAAAACAACAAAACATAATGACAAAGTATTCCCCACACACATCAAAATATAAGTGAGTGGGAAAAAAATCACTAAGGATGCAAGAACTGCAGGATGATGCCATCTGTGCAAGAAAAAAAAAAAACACAAAAAACCAACTGGCAGTATTTAAAAGTTATAAAAACAGGAGGATTCCCAACCATTAGCATTCACTAAAATTCACTATTGCACTAATATGAAAACAGGTGAATCTGGAAGGGCTTCTGCCCTTGTGCCATAAGAAGGACTGCAGCTGCTAGGGTCTTATAAACATTCAAAATTAATATGCTAGAGCTCCATGACAGGGCCTACAGTTAAAAGATACTTCTGGGTATGGAACTAAAATTGAGCAAGACAGGGTCAAGAGAGAGGAAGGGAAAGTTGAGACCAAAGTGGGTTGGTAACAGACCCAGGAAAGCTCAGAAAACAAACTGCCATATTTTTTAACACAACACAAAGAAACAGAAGAAGTCTGAGAAATCAGAAAGGCTTTCCTGAATTCTGTCCCACTGTAAAAGTTCAGGAAAAGAGGATTGTGGAGAAATTGCAGAATAAAAAGTACCAGGAATGTGTCTCCCCATCTAGACAACAATTGCACTGGCAGGTTCTGTCTCAAGTAACTATTTAGGAACTCTGTGGAGTCTATTGAGGTTTGCAAATTCCAGGGAAACCTAAAATGATAATTTGTGGTTAATTTCAATTTTAGCTCTTAGCACAGTAACAATTACCCATTCTCAATTCCCATTCCTAAAACCGGCAGCTGTGTTTAGCATACCAGGAGCAGCTTGCACCCAGTCTGTACAGATCAGGGTAAGCAAAAGAACCCTTTGCTCCAAATATCAGGGTTTTGTGACCTGATTAGTTATTACTGCTTCTCACCTCAAAGGAGCAAAGAAGCTAAAGTGACTACTAGGAAACTTAAAGAGCCATTGTCCTTTTCTCCCCTTCATTGTTCTGTCTTGCCCCTTTTGGGAGCCAGACATTAAAGACTACACATTTAAAAGCAAATGCATATAGGGGAAATTAGAAAGTTACTACATATGCTGAGGGAAAGATGCAGGTTAAAAAAAAACCTGAGAAGACCTTAAGTTTACACCTCAGGTTGATCTTTGGCACAGAGAGCCTACAACAATCAAAAACAAAAACACAAGCAAAACCCAGTAAACCTTGGTGAAGAAGATTCTGATTTTCAGAATCATCACATTATTAGATTTAAATGTCCAGTTTCCAACAAAAAAATAACAAACACACAAAGCATCAGGAAAGTATGGCATATACAAAGGAAAAAAAAAAAACCAACAAGAAAATAGTTTCTATCCCTGGGCCAGAAAGAAAAAATAGAATTGATGGTAGATCTACTAGACAAAGACTTTAAAACCACCATCTTAAAGAATTAAAGGAAGAGGGACTACTGGGTGGCTCAGTGGTTGAGCATCTGCTTTTGGCTCAGGGTGGGATCCTATGGTCCTGGGATCAAGTCCCACATTGGGCTCCCAGCATGGAGCCTGCTTCTCATGCTGCCTATGTCTCTGCCTCTCTCTCTTTCTCTCTCCCTGTGTCTCCCATGAATAAATAAATAATATTAAAAAAAAAGAACTACAGGAAGATGTGCAAACAAATTTATATGAATAAATTTAATTATCAATAAAGAGATGAAAAACCTAAAAAGAAATAAGAAAGAAGGGCATCTGGGTGGCTCAGTCCATTGGGCATCTGATTCTTGGTTTTGGCTCAGGTCATGATCTCATGGGTCACAGGACTGAGTCTTATGTTGAGTTCCCCATTCAGTGGGGAATCTGCTGGAAAGATTCTCTCTTCCTGCCCTTCCCCCCATTCTCTGTCTCTAAAATAAATAAATAAAAATCTTAAAAGAAAATAAGGGTAGGGAAAGAAAAATAAGATAAAAACAGAGAGTGAGGAAAACCATAAGAGACTCTTAACTACAGAAAACAAACTGAGGATTCCTGGTGGGGGGCGGGGGTGGGGAATGAGGTACCTGGATGATGAGCATTAAGGAGGGCCCTTGATGTAATGAGCATTGGGTGTTATATGCAACTGATGAATCATTAAATTCTACCCCTGAAACTAATAATATACTATATGTTAACTAAATTGGATTTAAATTTTTTAAAAAAAATTTTTAAAGAAAAAAAATCATAAAGGGCAATAATTGAAATAAAAAATTCACTAGAAGGGTATGCCTGGGTGGCTCAGTAGTTGAGCATCTGTCATGATCCCAGGGTCCAGGGATTGAGTCCCACATCAGGCTCCCTGCAGGGAGCCTGCTTCTCTCTCTGCCTATGTCTCTGCCTCTCTGTGTCTCTCATGAGTGAATAAATAAAATCTTTAAAAAAGAAAAGAAAAATCACTAGAAGCAATCAAAGGAAGATTTGAGCAGACAAAAGAAATAATTTCCATTTCCCTATCTTCAAACTTACTGATAAACCTAGAGAACAGTGCCTAAGGGATATCACCAAGCTGGCCAATATAAAAACTATGGGAGAAAAAGAGAAAAGAGTGGCAGAGAGAATAAAGAAATAATGGCTGAAAACATCCCAAATTTTTGGAAAGACACAAATACATACCTTCAATAAGTTCAAAGAACTCCAAGTAAGATAAACTTAAAAAAGAACCACATCAAACTTCTGAAAGACAAAGAACCTTGAAAGCAGCAAACATGAAGTCACCCATCACATACAAGGGATTCTCAATAAGATAACCTGTAGATTTTTCATCTGAAACTTTAGAGGCCAGAAAGTATATAGAATATGATATATTCTAAGAGTTAACAGAAAGAAAGCATCAGTCAAGAATCCTGTATCTGGGGGCGCCTGGGTGGCTAAGTAGGATTGAACATCTGAATCTTGGTTTCAGCTCGGGTCATGATATCAGGGTCCTTGGACTGAGCCCTACACTGGGTTCCTTGCTCAGGTGGGATCTGCTTCTCCCTCTCCTCCCCCTCTCACTCTTCCCTCTTAAATAAATAAATAAAATCTTTAAAAAAAATATCCTGTATCTTGCAAAACTGTCCTTCAAAAGTGAGGAAGAAATTAAGTCATTCCTAAGTTAAAGAAAAGTTAAAGGAGGTCATTCCCATTGGATGTCTCCAGCAAGAAATGCTAAAAGGAATCCTACAGGTTGAAATGAAAGAACACCAGACAGTAACTCAAGCCACATGAAAAAAATAAAGATCTAAGTAAAGGTTAATGGCATGGTTAATGACATGAAAAATATAAAAGCTAGCATTATTAAAACAATGGTTTGTAACTCCACTTTTTGTTTTCTACATGATTTGAAAGACAAATGGTTTACAAAAAAAATAATTAAACACTGATATTATTATAACTTTGGTTTATAATGTCACATTCCTTTTTCTTTTTTTCTTTACATTACTTTTTCTACATAATTTAGAAACTAATGAAAAAAATAATGCATTTAAAAGAATTATTAGCTTATGTTTTGTGGCACACATATATTAACATGTGATTGTGTGACATCAGCAACTGAAGTAGGAATGGAGCTGTAAAAAGCAGAGTTTTTGCATGTTATTTATATTAAACTGTTATAAATTTAGAGTGTTATAACTTGAGGATGTTAAATGTAATTCTCATAGTAACAAAGAAGACAGTGATAGAATATATACAAAAAGAGGAATTTAAAGATTTCACTCAATAACATCAACTAAACACAAAAAACCCAGTGATACAGAAAATGAACAGAAAACCTGTAAGACAAAAAGAAAAAAGGCAAAATGACAGAAATAAGTCCCTACTTACAGCAATTACTTTAAATGTAAATGGATTAAACTCCTCACAGATTGGCAGAATGGATAAAAATATGATCCAACTATATGCCATCTAAAACAGATTCACTTTATTTTTTTTAAAGATTTTATTTATTTATTCATGAGAGACACAGAGACAGAGAGAAAGGCAGAGACACAGGCAGAGGGAGAAGCAGGATCCATGCAGGGAGCCTGATGTGGGACTCGATCCAGGGTCTCCAGGATCATGCCCTGGGCTGAAGGTGGCGCTAAACCACTGAGCCACTGGGGCTGCCAGACTCACTTTAGATCCAAAGTGAGTGATCCAAAAGTGAAAGGATGGTAAAAGATATTCCACGCAAATAAGAACCAAAAGAGAGCAAGCGTGGCTTTATGAATATCAGACAAAAAGACTTTCAATCAAAAAAATATTATGAAAGACAAAGGACATGAGATATTAAGCTAAGGTTCAATACAGCAAGAAGAGTTAACAATTATAAAAATGTATACACTTAATAACAAACCATCAAAGCACATTAAGTAAAAATTGACAAAATTAAAGGAAGAAATAATTCTATAATAATAGTTGGAGACTTTAATACTCCACACTCAATAACAGATAGAACCAGACAAAAGATAAGTAATGAAACAGGAATTGAACAACATAATAAACCAGAGCTAACAATTTCTAAGGAACACTCTACCCAACAAAAATACAATACACAGTCTTCTCAAGTGTGCATAAGACATTTTCCCGGACAGACCATATGTTAGGACATAAATTAAGTCAAAACAAATTTTGAAAGATAGATATACAAAGTATATTCTCAGATGACAACAAGATAAAGTTAGAAATCAGTAACAGAAGGTAAATGGAAAACTCATGAAGTTGTGATAACTAGACAATATACTCAACCAAACAATGGATCAAAGAAGAAATCACAAGGGAAATTAGAAAATACTTACAGGGGCACCTGGTGATTCAGTCAGTTAAGTGTCTGCTTTCAGCTCAGGTCATGATCTTAGGGTCCTGGATCAAGCCCTGCCTTGGGCTCCCTGCTCAGTGGGGAGTCTGCTCATCCCTCTGCCCCTCACCCCTGCTCATGCTCTCTCTGTCTCTCTCTCAAATAAATAAAACCTTAAAAAAAAAAAGAAGAAGAAAAAAAAATACTTTAAGGAAAATAAAAGTACAGAGCACCTGGCTGGCTCAGTCAGAACATGCGACTCTTGATCTTTCTGGGTCATAAATTTGAGAACTACAATGTGTGTAGAGATTACTTAAATAACTGAAACTTAAAAACAAAATAAAAAATACAACATACCAAAACTTTTGAAAGCAGTGCTAGGGGGAAAATTTACAGCTATAAACATTTACACTAAAAAGCAAGAACAGGGGTGCATAGGTGACATAATCAGTTGAGCATCCAACTCTTGGTTTCACCTCATGTCATGATCTCAGAGTTATCAGATTGAGCCCCATGTTGGACTCAGCTCAGAATCTGCTTGAGATTCTCTCTCCCTCTGCCCCTCACATTCATGCTTTCTCTAAAATAAATAAATTTGTAAAAAAAATAAATAAATAAAAACAAGAATAATTTCAAATTAACAACCTAACTTTACAACTTAAGGAACTAGAAAAAGAACAAAGCTAGCAAAAAAAAAGGAAACAATAAAGATTAGAGCAAAGATAAAGGAAATAAAGGAAAGCAAGAGAAGAAAATCAGTAAAATAAAAAGTTACTTGGAAAAATCAGCAAAATAGACAAACTTTTAGCTAAATGGACAGAAAAAAGAGAAGATTCAAATTATTAAAATAATAAGTGAAACTGGGGGCATTAGAATAAAAATTATTAAGAGCAAAACAAAGAAAATCTGGACAAACCCATAACTCATAAGAAGATTGAATTAGTAATCAAAAATCTTCCAATAAAGCAACCCTTGGAACTGATGGCTTCACTGAGAAATTCTATCAAACACTTAAATAACACCAATTATTCTCTAACTTTTCCCAAATTTGAAGAGAAAGGAATACTTCTTAATTCATTTTTTAAGCCCAGCATTACTCTAATACTAGAGCTAGACAAAGACAATACAAGAAAACTAAAGACCAACATTCCTTATGAACATTGAAGCAAATACCCTCAACAAAATATTAGTAAACCAAATTCAGCAGCATATTAAGAAGATTATACACCACAACCAAATGGGAGTTATTCCTGGAATATAAGAATAGTTTGACATATGAAAAGCAATCAATGTAATGGACTACATTAATGGAATGAGGGATGAAAAAATCATGATTATCTCATTTGATACAGAAAAAACATCTGACCAAATTAAACACCCTTTCATGATTAAAAAAAAAAAAAACCACTCAACAAACTAGGAAAAGAAAAAAAATCTACCTTGGGGCATCTGGGTGGCTTGGTTGAGCATCCAACTCTTGGTTTTCGCTCAGATCATGATCTCAGGATTGTGAGACTGAGCACCATGTCAGGCTCCATGCTCAGTGGGTAATCTGAGTGAGGTTCTCTCCCTTGTCTCTCTCCCTCTGCCCCACATGCATGCTCTTTAAAAATAGAATAAAATCTTTATTAAAAAAAGAAAAAAATCTACCTCAACATAATAAAAGCCACATATGAAAACATACAGTGAACGTCACACTTAACGGTGAAAGATTAAAAGTTTTTCCTCTAAGACCAGAAACAAAGCAAGGATGACCACATTCACCACTTCCTTTACATATAGTACTGGGAGGTCTAGCCAAAGCAATAAATCTAGAAAGAGAAATGTAGAAAAAGGTGTCCAAATTGAAAAGGAAGAAGTAAAATGACTCCTGTTTGCAGATGATATAATCTTATATGCAGAATACCCTAAAGAGTCCATCAAAAAAACAAAAACCTGTTAGAATAAATGAATTCAACAAAGTACTGGCATGTAAGGTCAACACACAATCAGCTGCACTTCTACACACTAACAATAAACAACTCAAAAGGGAATTAAAAACACAATTCCACTTACAATAGCATTAAAAGAAATAAAAAACCCAACCATGGAGGTCAAAAACTTGTACAACGAAAACTACAAAATACTGACCAAAGAAATTAAAGACAAATAAATGGAAAAACATTCTTTGCTCATGCATTAGAAGACTTTATACGAAGATGTCAATACTGCCCAGAATAGTCTATACAACCAATGTAATCCCTATCAAAATTCCAATGACATTTTTTGCAGAAATAAAAATCAGTAAACATACATAGAGAGTCTCAAGAGACCACAAACAGCCAAGGCAGTCTTAAAAAAGAACAAACCGAGATGCCAGGGTGGCTCAGTGGTTGAGCATCTGCCTTTGGCTCAGGGCATGATCCTGGAGTCCTGGGATAGAGTCCGACATCGGGCTCTCTGCATGGAGCCTGCTTCTCCTCTCTCTGCCTGTGTCTCCGCCTTTCTCTCTGTGTCTCTCATGAATAAATAAATAAAATCTTTAAAAAAAAAAATCTGGAAGGCTTATAATCCTGATTTCAAAACTTACTGTATAGCTACAGAAGTCTAAAGTGTGGTACTGGCATAAAGACAGACATATAAACCAATGGAGTAGAATAGAGAGGCCAGAAATAATTCCCCACATATATCATCAAAAGATTTTTTAAGATCTATTTATTTCAGAGAGAGAGTGCGAGCAAGTAGGGGAGAGGCTAAGGGAGAGAATTCTGAAGCAGAATCCCTGCTGAACATGGAGACCAACACAGGGCTCAATCTCAGGATTTAAATACTTCCACTGTCATAACAGCATTATTCACAGTAGCAAAAATGTGTAAGAAACCCAAGTGTTCATCAAATGATGAATGGATAAGCAAAATATACATATCCATACAATGGGATATTATTCAGCTTTAAATAGGAAGGAAATTTTAATATATGCTACAACATGAGTGAACCATGAGGACATTAGTCACAAAAGAGACAAATGGTATATGATTCTATGGACAATACTTAAAAGTAATCAAAATCATAGCAACTGAAAGTAGAATGGTAGTTGCCAGGCAGGGCCTTGGGGGACAGAAGACTTAATATCTAAAGGATAAAGAGTTTCAGTTTCACAAGATGAAAAGAGTTCTGGGGTGCCAGGCTGGCTCAGTGGGAAAAGCATGCAACCCTTGATCTTGAGGTTGTGAGTTTGAGCTTCACCAATAGGTGTAGACTGCTTAAAATAAATAAATATATTTTTTTTAAAAAAGTTCTGTAGCTAGATGGGGGGGGTGCTGGTAGCATATTATGAATGTATGTAGTATCACTGAACTAAAGGTACACTCAAAAAATGGTTAACATGGTTATAATGTAAATTCTATTTTTCTTTTTTTTTTTTTGTAATATAAGTGCCTGACTTAAGCTTTGATTGTGAAGGGACCCATTTCAAAGAGGCACTCATTTCAAAGATGGCTCTCTCTAATAAACAAGACTAAATAAAGAGCCAAGCCACTTCCCCCAACTGAGGCTCCTTTGTTTTAGAGATTTTGGTTGATTTTGATAACTAGCCATTTGAGCCACTTTTCTTTTTTTTCCCTCCCAAACTTTAAATTCTCTCTCTTGGGATCCCTGGGTGGCGCAGCGGTTTGGCGCCTGCCTTTGGCCCAGGGCGCGATCCTGGAGACCCGGGATCAAATCCCACGTCAGGCTCCCGGTGCATGGAGCCTGCTTCTCCCTCTGCCTGTGTCTCTGCCCCCCCCCCTCTCTGTGACTATCATAAATAAAAATTAAAAAAAAAATAAATTCTCTCTCTTATGTTTTAAATGCACCAATAAAGAGTGGGCCTACAGACCTATTCCTGGGAAGTATGAGGGAAAATGGCAAAGTAGGAGGATCCTGAGTTCACCTTGTCCTACAGACACATTGAGGCAACAACTACAGCTATGCAACTAACTCTTAAAATGACCTAGACTGGCAGAACAGACATCCACAGCTAGTCAGAGAAAGTCACAAAGAAAAGGTAGAAGGCAATTGGGAACCAACTCCCTGGTTCAACCAACCACAAACAGGATGGATATCACAAATATCAAGAAGCAAGAGGACCAGACCCCACACTGGGTAGCCCCTGGAACTGGGAACCCACACAGGGAAGATGAATCTTCTTAACATCTGGCTTTGAGGGGTGCCCAGGTGGCTCAGTCGGTTAAGTATCCCCGCCTTCGGCTTGGGTCATGATTCCAGGGTCCTGGGACTGAGCCCCACATCTGACTCTGTGCCCAGCACACAGTCTGCTTGTCCCTCTCCCTCAGCCTCTGACCCCTCCCTCCCCACCCTACTCATGCTCGTTCCCTCTCTCTCTCTCTCCCTCAAATAAATACATAAAATCTCTAAAATAAATAAATAAATAAATAAATAAATAAATAAATAAATAAATAAATAAATAAATAATAAAATAAACATCTGGCTTTGAAAACCATGCGGGCTTAACTCCAAGAACTTTGAAAATTGGAAGACTTAACTCAAGGAGAGCCAGAAGATGACAGGAAACTGAGTCCCTGCCCTTAAAGAGTCAACATACTAAATAACTCAAGAGACACAACGCAGAAGCAGCACCTTGAAAAGCACCTGGGGGTATTCATGAAGGAGCTTACTGACTAATCTGAGAATATGTACTAAGTGGCCAAAGATTTCTCTGGCAACAAAAACAATGGTGAGTGCCATTTTTCCTTGCCTCCTACAACCTAGATAGCAAGATGCTTCTAGGAGCCAGTTCCGACACTCTCCGTCTACCTTACTATCACTGTATCCCATGCCCCTACATCCTCCTACAGACCACTCCATCTAGCCTGCCCACCTTGGCAAAATAGCTCCTGCTCTGCCACACCTGGAAGGCAACTCTGCCAATACTGTGCCACTTCAAAATGACTCCTGCCTTTGGAAAGGGAAGAGATAACCCCCCACCAGCATGCCCACAGTTCCTGCAGCTGAGCCTTTTAGCTGGCTGTGCAGAGAGCATGTCCTGCCCTTCACTGTGCCTGCAGATAGAGCAGACACTAGCTGTAGACAGCTACCTAGAATGAATGCTAACCTCACCTACCAGTGAACACACAGGCAACAGGTGGGTCTCTCAACATTGCAGGGAGCAAACTATGCCCAGTACACCTCCATC